CACATGCGAGATGAGCAAATGATGTGAGAACGATCCTTTACTTTTACACATTTATTTTCCTGGAAATGATGTATTTTCTGGCATGGTGAAATCTGGAATATTATCACCAGACAACGTCTGGTTTAATGAAGCAAATATCAAAACAATTCCTAATAATACCAGAAATTCTGCACCAATGTTGGAAGCAATTTTTTTTTGTTTTAAACCCCACCCTAGCTGTTGTTGGAGGCCCTAATATAACCCAACCTATAGGTTGAACTGGGTTTCTGGGACCTGCCCCTGGGTGAACCTCATCCGAATAGTCACTCTTTGTGTCACCAGGTCTTTATCGCTCATTGTGATGTCCTGGTGGGGTTGAACATCAGTCAGTCATTTCTAATAATATCATTACACAATCTAAACTTCTAACAATTTTACCATAATTAGATAATCCATAACACTTGTTAGTAATATTCTGAACAAATTCAGAATAAGCAAAATAAACTGAGAATTAATCTATTATTCTAATGTTAATAAAATTACATCAAGAATGGAAAAACAAGCTTTAAGTAGATTATTAGATTAAGTAATACTGGTGTATTTGCATTGGATTTCATTTAGTAGATAACTCAACTAGTAACATGTTGTAACATTTTGTTGGTGTCTGTTGCTTGGGGCTTATGAGCACAGTTTTATAATTTTGAAATAAGAATTCAGTTTGGCTATCCTCCGAATAACGGTCCTAAATTATTGAGGCGGAAAATATACCATAACAGGGCCTCAGTCACGTGTCAATTGCGCACTTCCGGGGACTATAATGCCACCGCCAAATTGCGAACTTCCTGCGACTTCCACCACCGCCGAGAGTATTCCCCACGCCGCTCATGCGGCATGGATTGTGGCTAAACTAGGCTAGGACTCACGAGCAAATAAAATAAAGGAAGCTGCAGGAGATGCGGTACCTGCTGCTCGTGAGTCCCAGCCATCTAGTTTAGCTCCAATCCATGACGCTCACGCGGCGTGGGGGATACTCTCGGCGGTGGCGGAAGTCGCCGGAAGTGCACAATTTAAGACGACGGAAGTGCGCAATTGACACGTGACTGAGGCTCTGTTTGGGTATATTTTCCACCTCGATAATTTAGGACCGTTTTTCGGAGGATAGCCTTCAGTTGAAGTACAGAGGTGTGATAGCAGACTGCTTTGCATTGATTTGACAACTGTATGAGCATTGATCACTCAGAAAGAAATGGCGAACTAATGAATCACTTGTAAATCCACAAACAGTCAACAAATGCTGTGGCTGGTGTGTGACATCATGTAAAGGATATGCTGCTTACTTTATTATTATTAACATCTGGCATAGCAAATGGGTGTAAATATTTTAACAAAAATCTCATCAAATATCATGTTTAACTAACTGAACAACTTATCACAGACATCAGAAGGAGGCAGTCATCATTTTTCGGCCATGTTATGAGAAGAGGGAAAATAGAACATGTTGTGACCACTGGAAAGATATGTGGAAGGAGGGATAGAGGAAGACAACGAGAGAAGATTCTTGACAGTCTTGTTGCATGGCATGGAGGTGTGTAGGCACACGAACTGATACATGCTGCAGGAGATCGCAGATTGTGGAGAGGCATGATCGCCCAGACCAGTCAGCAAAGCACCTAATAATTATAATGAACTAACTGAAATGTATGCTATAAATGAGTTGGATTATCTTCATCGCACTCTGGACACATCCACAGATGCTCAGATTCCCACTTAAAATACACATCAGCTTTCTGTGGCTTATAATGCCAGTCCTATGCTGGTTGACAAGACTTCTTAGAATGCTATGAATATACAGTGTGTGTGTCCCTACAAAAAGGGAAAATAAAAAAAAGAGAAACATTCTTCTTAAGACTACTGGTCCTGTGAGAGGAGGGGTGACAAAGCAACTAAAGAAACATCAAAATGATAGTAACAGAAACTTTAGCCCAACAACCAACTTTATAAAAGAGATGTACCTAGTTGAGGACAACTGGTGGAAAAGAATGAGGAAGACAAAACAGATTTTCTTTTTTTGTACAAAGCTTCTCATAGAGCCGGACTTTTTGGTTGTTGTTTCAACAATAGCTTTGGCTCCCAGGTCGACCCAGCCTTAAATGGATAACAGATGAAGTCCTGGAAAGTGACGGCTGCTGACATGATGCTGACCATATCACTCAAAAAGTGCCAATAGATCTACAAAATATTGGTCTAACCATATATGTCCAATAAGCCAAAGGCACGGAAAAGAGTCCTTTACTTAATTTACTTACTTGAAATGCGCCTAGAGATAGACAAATATAAGGTAGTACAGTAACAAATACTACTTTCTGGGTTTAAAGTGTCAGTACTTAACATATTCTAGATTAAAACATAATGATGTGACCAATTCCCTGGCTCCCCATCTTTCTTTAGCAAAAAATATAGGACCCATGTTTTTAGGACTTTTGTTACTGCACAAGATATCTATGTAATGTGAATGTAGCCATCAGTCCCTGTGAACCATGAAGTTATACCACTGGTTCTGGGAACAGCATCTGCTGTGATTGTAAAGTTCAATGCGCCAGTGGCAGCCTCTGCCACCTATTCAACATAAAAACGTTGATATTCTGTCATTCTGACGCTGGTTTTTTCTCATACATATTCTTTCTATAACTTGCTGCATTTGGCCTCTTGCAAACTTTCAGTTACTGCCTCCAAAGGAGTCAATCTGCAGCTGATCTCTCCCAAGTGTCTGTGTAATATCTTTCAGGTTGTGATTGCATATCTCCTTATAGCATAGATTTGACTTTCCTGCAGATCTTATACCTGTTCCCAGTTCACCATGCAGGAGATCCTTTGGAATGCAACTGTCCTCCAGGCGAGATAATGTTCCAGCCAATGCATGTATCTTTGCTTCACTAGAAAGTACATTGTTTGCATTTCAGTACTTTTGTGTATACATTCATTAAGGACAAAGTCTCACCACTGATATACCAAGAATGCATATCAGTCAGAGCATGTGGAAAGTATCCATTCTTTTTTTTTTTTTTTAGTAGCATATACAGTCCAAGTTTAACTATCATAAAGTAGTATAAAAACTTTAATTTTGGTCCTATGTGTGAGCTTTTTGTTTGACCACACTTGTTAAGAGTTTGGAAAGCATTAAAGAAGCCTTTCCTATTTATCTATTTATCTGTTTAGTTCTGCATCTAGGAAAAGACCGTCTGCAATTTGAGAGCCTACATACTCAAAGTCATGTGCAACAGCTCGTGGTCGTAAATGCTAATGTTTTGTTGGTTTACCACTTTCATCCCAATCATTTGCATTTTTAGACTGATGGTGAATCCAAATTCTGTGCATGCATTTGCAAAGTGATTTACAGGAATCTGCAGATAATGTTCTGTATGTGTGGCAATGATTGCATCTTCTCCAAGTAGAAAAATCCCTGAGGCATCATGTCTGCAACTTAATCCTTGCAGCCTGGACAAACTGAAAAGAATGCTATTGGATCCCATATGGGGATATTTATCCCTTCAGTGGCTGTCCCAAAAGCATGTTGAAGCAATGCAAGAGAGCTATGTTATGTACATGTGTATAACTCATTTATACCAATTCCCTGGACCTTTCATTTTAAATCATTCTATTGTGACAACCAGGACAATTTAGTGTATTACAGAATGAGCCTAGCAGAGTGGGAAAATGCTGAATGGATTGGCAGGGTAGCATTGAAGGAAATCAGAGGTTGAAAGTAAAATGAATTGAAGAGGGACATGATCATGTGCAGTGCACTACATGATGATAATAATTTGAATGATGATTTAAGTTTTTATTTTATTTTAAATACACACAAGTGGAAACCTGCTTGAAGCAACAAATTATTTAATCAATAATCAATAGTAAATAACACTAGCATAATGAAGAAGAAGGTCTGAGCAATGAAATAGTGATGATTTGATAGCCTATTAGCAAAGAGGAAATAGAAAGCATTAACAGATAAGTGGACACTTGAATCCATAATGCTATTCTGTTCCGTTACATTTTTGAAGTATGGCACAGGAATATGTTATCATGCTAAAGTATACAGTCACACCATAACAAGTATGGGAGCTCTTCCAGAACCTCTGTTTCCATCTACAAGCTTTCTCATACAAATACAAGCATTAATTAGGAAAAGATTTTTTTTTTCTTTCTAATATACATGTGAATATGTGTAGGAGATGCTGAAGACAAAGCAGAGGTTGCCAAAGTCTCTATATTTACTTGATTCATTGTGATTTTATAGGTCAGCATTATAAACTGCATAAGAAAGAGGCAAAATATTGTCTCATAAAATAGGTGTTATAGGACATACACTGAGAACAAAACTGACCAGATATCTAATTCTGTCCTAAACTTGACCCTTGTCAGAAGACAAAAATTGCAGAGGCCAAAGAGAATGTGAAAAACAAAACCAGAAGTCTAAAACATTCTATCTGTATAAGTAGGACTGTAGAAAACACAGTCCTGTGTTTAAATGCAAACAAATGATAAAGATAAAAATCTGTGGTGGTTTTTTTTAATGTTTAAAACAAACAACAGATTGCACATGCTAGTCAAGCATGCATTATCTGAGATGTTAAAAACTGCAGATCAAATTTCAGATCTTGAAAAATAACTCCTGTTATCACAAAACTGTCATGCTGTCACTGTCAAAGTGTCTCTTATATCTATTGTAGCCATCTGTGGAGTCAACAGCCTTGACCTTTGCTTCCTTGTCTGTCACAAACACCCGGTATTTGTACCAAAGAGCTATAGGGAGGTAACAGAGGAAAAACAAGATCATCAGGCCTCCAAAAACAAAGAATATGTATTCAACTTTGCCTTCGTTTATTTCATCCGGAAACCAAGGATCTGAAAAACAAAATAGGACACGTATATATATGGTAGTTTCTGCCACATAGTCTACTTTAAAAAAGTGGTACTTTTATATATATATATATATATATATATATATATATATATATATATATATATATATATATATATATATTATATATATATATATATATATATATATATGTGGTGTATGTATCTCTGTCTGTCTGTCTGTCTGCCTGCCTGCAGGCAGGCATGCATGCATGCATGCATGCATGCATGTATGTATGCATGTATGTATGTATGTATGTATGTATGTATGTATGTAGTGTATGTATGTATGTATGTATGTATGTATATGTATGTATGTATGTATGTATGTATGTATGTATGTATGTATGTATGTATGTATGTATGTATGTATGTATGTATGTATGTATGTATGTATGTATGTATGTATGTATGTATGTATGTATGTATGTATGTATGTATGTATGTATGTATGTATGTATGTATGTATGTATGTATGTATGTATGTATTCATGTATGTATGTATGAGTATGTATGTATGTATGTATGTATTCATGTATGTATGTAATGAATTTCTAAAAATTGCATAGCTACTGAAAGGAATATAATTTTGTCATAGTTTTGACATTCACAATCTTATTAATTTAATGAGTGGAACTGTTCAAATTGCATGCAGCCAATCAGTCGACAGCTCTTTTTCATCTGGATCACTGATAGTTTTTAGACATATGGGCTTTCTGACAACTAATAAACATATGCCATCAGATAACTATGCATTTTTGGGGGAACAGTGCATGTATATGTGTGCGTGTGTGTAATCAAGTCTTGCCAACTGGTGTGGGTGATCATGCCTCGCCACAATCTGCAATCTTCTTCAGCATCTATCAGTTCATGTTCTTACCCCTCCATGCCATGACAAAAGGCTGTCAAGATTCATCTTGCGCTGTTTTCCTCTACCTCTTTTTCCACAGATCTTTCCAGCAGTCACAACATGTTCCAGTTTTCTTCTTCTCATAATATGACCGAAAATGATGACTGTCTCTTCCTGATATTTGTGATAAACTATCTCCAAGCCCTCGCCTATTCCAATACGTCTAGGTTGTACTTTTTGGCTATCAAAAGGATTCTTAGGATTGCTCAGTATGAGAGAATTTACATATATAAAGTGCGGTGGTAGATTGGAAAGAACAGTAGCAGACGGCATGGTATCAGGTGAGAGGGGCAGCAGTCAACCAGCATGAAACTGGGTACAGGACATAAAAAACACCTTGGCCCAGGACAGTGTATGAGAATAGACAGTTGGTGAGGGAAGGAGTTTCCTTTAATCATGCTGTTATGGCAGCAACATTCTGTAAACGACTGTTATGTCATGATAATGTTACACCAGGAGTTATTCTCTGCATTTTAATTAGTTGAGTTGAGTTGAGTCAAGAACTGACATCACAGCACACAGGACATTCCCAGGCATGCTCCATCCTCATCTTCAGCAGCCAGCACAGAGTTCCATTACTGATGGTACCGGTCACAATCTGGTTACATGTCCATCTTCCCCTTTCTCTGAGTGTAGTGAGCCAGCATTTGAATATGCATAACCAGTTCTCACTAACAAAAACATGAGTGTGGGTTAGAATTGTACAAGTATCTACTTACCATCTTTGGTTGCTGCTTCAATTATAGAAATGATTGCAGTGCTAACATAGTTGCCAAGACCATTGGTAGCCACAAATATTCCCATCACTGCACCCTGAAGATTCTTTGGTGCTTGTGTGTAGGCAAACTCATAACCTGAAAGGTTGCAATATCAGAATTTGTCACAATTCAACAGCTTGGTCTTGTTCAGGTCTTAAAGGGGCTAGTTAAAAATATACTGCAGTAGCTGTAATGTTGTTAGCTTAAACACATTTCAGGCAATGGAGTGTCTTGGATGTAGGACATTTTCCTCTGATTTATGTGTACTGAGTTAAAGAACCTCTGAAGAGACATTTTTACAATAAATACAAGGATACAGTACTGCTCCTAGTCTGGTCTGGTAGTCTCTAGATAGTGGGCTGGATATCTAGTCTTAAAAAATAAGGTCAAATATTGGAAGCTTCTGTGAATGTTGAATATGTTAATAATTTCTCATCAGTATAAAACTGTAGACTGCAAGAAGGCAGTTTGAAAATTTGAAAACCAATGAGCAATATAATATTTATAATATCAGATGGAAGATGTATTAAAGAAGTTAAATGTAGAACAGTTCAAAAAAGGCCGCATTTTACAAAATGAAGAATATATTATGCAATCTGTCTTTGTCAATTGAGATATGAAAGATAGTTCTTAAAAGCTATTTAAATCCTATCTTGATACACGGAAGTGAATAATGGCCGGTTGGTAAATTTGTGAAAACTTTCTTAGAAGCTGCAGAAATGTGGTTTTATAGATGAATGATAAGAATACCCTGGACAGAAAAAAGACTAATGAAGACGTCTTAAAAGAAACTGACTCACGAAGAGAACTGATTGTCCACATCAGAAAGAAACAAAATATATTTTTTGGTTATGTGATGAGAAGGAGAAAACTGGAGTACATCATGACAGTAGACAAGCTGAGAGTAGGAGAGGCAGAGGGAAACTGAGAGAACAGGTGCTGGAGAGTCTGACATCATGGCATGGAGAATCATCTGTGTCAGAGTTGACTGAAAGTACACAGAAGTTTGTGGATAGATATGACTACCAATGCCACATGGCATGGATTTTAAGAAGAAGAATATGTTGGAGAGGAAAAGAGCACTACCAAAAAGATCTTTTATTATATTTTAAAAGCAATGTTGGTTAGTCGAGCTGAGATTATTCAATTATAATTGTATAATGCATGAACAGATTATAGGTTGATTTGAAAGTTCTTTTATATGCTACAAATGTCATCAGCTAAGAAATGACGCTGGTTTTTTTTTTAAATGCTCTCTGGACAATAGAATTAAAAGAGCTAATGTTCTAAGCCTACAATTAATAATAGAAATATCGAAAGAGAAAGCTAACAAAGATAACTGGGTATCATTTTCGATAGAAGCCTGGGATTGAGGGATCATGTGGAGGCATTTGTGGTGAAATGCCAAAAAGGACTTAATGCTCTAAAAATTATGGCAACAATGGATTTGGAACAAAGAATGCTGTTCACAATGTTCCATCATATGATCCTGTCGGTAATAGATTATGGACTTGGACTGTTTACCATATCAAAGAGTCAACTGAGTAAACTAGAACACATACAGAATGAGGTCATGCCGGTAATTATGGGATGTACAAGAGATACCCCGGTAGTATGTATGCATATATACTTGCACTGCCTACTATAGCAGATAGGCTTGAAGTTATGCAAGCAAAGTCATATTTCAGAGTAACTGCAGACAAGAAGCTCTTCATGCATGAAGCTCTAGGTAAAGATAAGGATCACAGACTGAAAAAAGGAAGGTCTTGGATGGTCAGGCTAAAGACACAATTAGACTTGTATGCAGGCTTAATAAATTTGGTTGAGGAGAGGAGTAAGTCAAAGTGCCCGAGCAAGAATCGGACTTGTGTAAAGTTGTAATCACTTTAGGCTGTGAATGCAAGGACTGGCCAGCTGGTGCTGCAGAATCAGAAGCTCAACAAATGATTCATGAAAATTTTAACCCAGGGGATCTATATAGATGGCTCTGTGTTGAGAGACAGACGAAGTTTGCAAAAAGCGAACGGATGTCACTTGGTGCAACAAAGCCTGACGTATGATATCACAACGTCTGGTTTGAGAATGGAGGTGGGGCAGTCATTGCTGACTTCTGCTGGCTTAAGGATCAGCTGTACACACATCATAATTGTAAATGACTCATTTTGACTGTAAAATGGATGTGCACACAAAAACTCAGATTCTGGAACTAGACTACAGACAAGAAGTGTAAGAACAACCAGAACTTTCTGTCAGAGTTTACAGCTGGTGAAAATGAAGAAGAAGAACAACAACAATAAATTTTGCTTTGCAAACAATACTCATGTTTGTTGTCAAAATCAATGCAAGGTGGTCTGCTACTAAATCACCTGCAACTAACTTCAAACCTATGTATATTTGGACCATGAACTACACTCATAATTCCTAAGCCATAGTTGCTTATCACTGATATTTATATTTCTAATGTTTGGCATCATGACTCACACCAGTATACAGAACAGTAAATAGACTGTAGACTGGTGGTGCAGAATTGGTGCAATGCACAATTTTGCATCAACATGTAAAAGATCAATGTGTTTCTTTTCATGGAGATTATGTTTAATATGTGCTGAAATATGTTAGAAAATGTGTATAAACTTGACATAAATGTTCTTGAGGATAACTATCACATTAAATATGAATCTACAAGTCTAGCAAATCGGCAGAAGATTTAGCTGTCTTCAAAGTGGTGCCCAGGAAGTATCTAGGAGCACCACAAAGAGCCACACTGAAAAAATATAATGGACACATAGCAATGAGAAATACCATGCAGAAAAAAGAATGATGGCATAAGAACAGCCTTATGGAAGTGAAGACCAATTTGTACAACACACTGGAAAGAATACACAGAAGATTCTTACAATTCCTCCACCCAGCACTTGATAAAGTAACTGTAGGAAGTGAAGAAAAACACTCTCAATTTAAAAAATAGAAAAAGATGGTTAGAGGCCAAACTGAAAAATTTCCTAGTATATTTAGGGGCTTAATATTCAACACAGTCATATCTAACATATCTGAGTTATGGCCCGTGTCATTCACAGCCTTTTTCTTTCTGGTTAGTATTTATTTCTGGTAGTCACACACATTTCACATAGTCAGACAGATATGTGATACCTCTGAGAGACACTTCAGTTAAGCGATGTTTTTTTGTGTGTGTGTGCGGGGTATTCTTGTTCCTGTTTGTGGTACTTTATTTTTATGTAATATGCTATAAAGGCTCTCTAGCTGCAGTGAACGCTTGTCATTTATAAAACTTTTCTGCTGTCTTTCATTTGGTTTGATATATTTTCAAAAATATTTCCTTGCAGTTTCACCAGACTATGTTAGAGTAACCATCTCAAATTCCAGCTATGTAATCTAAATGACAGGATATTTCCTTGTGGTTTCACCAGATTAGAGTCATTATCTCAAATTCCAGCTATGTAATCTAAATGACCAGATATTTTCTTGTGGTTTCACCAGATTAGAGTAATTATCTCAAATTCCAGCTTTGGTAACTATGGTAACTAACAATGATAGAAGGCTGTGGAAAGACACGATTATCAATGCCACATGGGATGAAATATAAGGGGTACCTGCAATGCTTGTGAATGCCTCCCCAGTCCCTATAAGTAGAAACTGAGGTACTTGTATGAAAACAGTCATGTTGGCAGCAAAGAACTCCTCCTCGCCAACGACTTGATAGAATCCCAGCTTCTTCTTTCTCTCTATCTCAATCCAGCCAGCAATGAATACTGAACATGCTGACAGGATAAAGCCAACACCTGCAAAGGAATTACAGCAACTGTTATCAAATCTTGTAAATTGAGCTAATATAAATGTATGCCATCTATAACAGTTTTCTGTTATTCACGTTGAGAATAACTTTCCACTTTGAAGAAAAACACGAAGAATAAATAACCAACCAAGTTAACTTACCACAAATGGTGATGGAAAAGTTTCCACCAACATGAAAGAAGATTACATAAGTTGAATTCTTTGAGAAACATCTGAATAGACCAGTTACAAAAAATCCCCTAAATATTATGTTTGCAGAGGCAGAGTTGAATATCAACTGTGAGATGTTACCATTAAAAAAAAAATTAAATTAGGAAAGCTATCAACCTCCAGCAGGATGGGAAAACTGTTGGTCAAGATGATATCCCAGCAGAGCCTATTATCAACTGAATTTCTACTTAATTTAATTAGCAGAGTCAAGACAACAAAAGAAATGCCAGCAGGCTAGAAAGAAGATATCTAGTAAATGAAAGAAAGGGGAGCTGCAAGATTGTAAAGATCACAAAGGATTAATTTAATTTTTTAGTTCCTTGATTTAAATAAAAATGCAGGGCCATTCTAATAAAATTAAGAGAAATGCAATTTTTAGTTATTTTGAAGCCCCACCCTTGCTTTTGCCGGGGGGCCCTAAATATAGCTGAGCCTGAAATATGGCCTAATGGCTAAACAGGATTTCCGGGACATCTCCATGGGTGATCCTCATCTGCATGTGGCACTTTGTGACACCCGGTGTTTACAACTGACAAATAACCAAGAAATGAAGACAAAACACTGACAAGATAGCTATATCAATATATGGTTTTATATATATAAGTTGTCCCCTTGTGGAATGCAATTTTTAGTTATTTTGAAGCCCCACCCTTGCTTTTGCCGGGGTCCCTAAATATAGCTGAGCCTGAAATATGGCCTAATGGCTGAACAGGATTTCCGGGACCTCTCCATGGGTGATCCTCATCTGCATGGTGGCACTTTGTGACACAGGGTGTTCATCACTTGTGTGATGTCCTGGTGGGGTACAACTTATCTACCTACCTAGATATCAAACATAATTAGAGAATGAAGCAGTGAGGTGAATTTGCCACCTTACAATATAATTATGTTGGCTGTGAACTCATCCGTAGAATGAGACACAGCTTCTTGATAGAGGATGTGCTAAAAATTTAAAAAAAGTGGATAAAAGCACATAAGAGAAAGACAATTACATTGAAAACAAAAAGAAATGAAAGAATAATTCAATAATGCAGTGCTAATACATATAAGTAAAGGTGTCTGAAACTAATTAAAGCTGAAATTTCACAGTTGTCACTGGTGATGCTGAACTAAGCTCCTTACCTATGAGTTTCATCAAGTATCCATGGCTAAAGGATACATGTGGCAGCATGAAAAATAACAATCAGGTAAACAGTCAGAGATTCTTAACACTACTTATGAATACATAAATTGAATCTTCTACTAACTAATCTATGTGATAGTTTTATATTATTCCATTTGTTTTATGGTAAAAACATAAAATACAGGATGTTGAAAACTCATTTTAGCTACCAAAATACCAAGCATTATGCTTTAACTCCTTTATTCAATCACAGCCCAAATTAGCAGCTTTATATTTACTTTTATCAGTAATAATGAAGTCAAAGGTTAACCCTTTTCTGTATCAGTTAAAATGAAAGTGATATCTCTGCTACTGCCAGTCCCAAGCCTGGATGAGAAAGGAGGAGGGTTGGACATGAGACCAGCTACCCCAACATGTATGTAGAAGAAAGCAATTAAGTTGGGGTGTTTCCCTTGAAGTCAGAGTGCATCTGCCTAAGAGTCAAAGAACCAACAGTCTGCATTGAAAATAAGCTTTTTGCTTTTTTACTGTAAAAAACAAGGGGGGGGGGGGGGCAAGCAACTCATTGTGTTTCTTAATTACTCCAGATCCCTGTGTGGGTTCCAGGATCCCATTATAGGGGACAAAATAACAGACCCACTGCCCCCATCTGCCTAAGAGTCAAAGAACCAACAGTCTGCATTGAAAAATGAGCTTTTTCTTTTTAAAAACAAAGGGGGGCTACATGGCCTCGAAGCATGGTTTCGCCTTGAGTGGACTTCTAATAATTTCCCATGGTTACTTGGTATTAAGATCGGATGCCCATGTGCATTGTTGTGCACGTAAAAATCCCTTGGCAGTTGAAATCAAAACGAGTAGCATAACAGCACTGCCCGGGCAAAACTTGGAGTTTAAAAATCTACCCAAAGTATTTCAGGATCCTCGCCTGTGCTACAGAGTTCATGCACTGCTTGGAACTGAAAGAGTCAGTATGCAAATGGCACTCATGAAAGCATCAAAACACAGAAAAACAGGAGGACACACCAAACAACATACAATCAACAGCTATATTTCGATGGCCTCAACAGCTCTTTAGAAATTTAATCAAACTCTTTCAGTACTTAACAACTCATCATACATTGATTGCTGACTACTTTGATGGTACGGCTTTCTTTACTCCTTAGATCCAGCACATTTTTTACATTATCTAATTTACTCTCAAGTGTAACTTTATCTGCTCTTTGACTACTTTCATGATATGGCTTTCTCAACTCCTTAGGTCCCACCACTTTTGTACATTATCTAATTAACTTTCAAGTATTACTTCACTCTATCTGCTCCTTGACTACTCTAGTGATATGGCTTTCCTAATTCCTTAGGCTCCATCCTTCCAATCTCACAATTTTTTCTAGTGCTCCTCTTCTCATTTTTCTCATCACATTACCAAAAAACGTTATACACCCCTGTGGATTCCAGTGTAAAGACATTGAAAGAGTTACTATTGCAATACAAATGTAAATTATAATATAAACTAACCAATCCTTTGCAAATGTGTTAATGGTCGACCAAGCCATCTAAAAAGTGGGTAGACTGCTCTGTCAAGAATAGGGATAAAAACAATAACAGCCACAGTGTTGAATGCATTCAGGACTGCTACAGGTACCTGCCCACTTCCAGCAGTCAAGTCCATCCTTTCACCTTGTAAAAAATATGTTGTCTGCATCTGTAGAAACAGAAACTTTAAAGATTAAAAATCTAAATATATGAAAACGGAACAATTACAACTTTATATTTGGGTTCCAGGGCCCCACTACCCCCCCCCCCCCCCTAATAAACATGTTGTAAATAGTGGTTTGCTGAAACTGGATTTGCTGGACCAAAAAGCACAGATTTTGCAGCCTAGCTGTAAACACATCAGTCCAAACACCCTTTTAAAGATAAATGCAGATGAGGAAGAATAATTACTAAAGGAATATATTTTTTTAAGTGCTAGTAAAAATAAATGTTAAAAAGACTCAAACATTTATAACTGCAGATTTCTCTGTTCAATGAGACAAACTTTCTTTTTAATGTCTATTTGCAGAAGGCTTTTAATACACCCACAGGTCTTTACCCTTCCACTAAAAAAGCTGAGTTGAGATGAGATAAGAACTGAAATCACAGCTACATGGTGTCGAGGCATGGTGTCCGCCTTGAGTGCCGAAGGTCACAGTGAAGGTTGGGTTTTTTTCCTGTGGACTTCTAGTAATTTCATCTCTGGGTAGTAAGATTAGACACCCGTGTGTATTGTTGCATGTGTAAAAAAAAATCCCTTGGCAGTTTTAACTCGAAAAGAGTAGCCTTACAGCGCTGCCCAGGCAAAATGTGGAGCCTACCATCTACCCAATGTACTTTAGGATCCTTGCCGGTGCTACAGAGTTTGTGCACAGTGCTAACATTCTTCGGTCTCAGGCTGGAATTAGAAGTAGAACTTATCACTTATGGGTTACCCGTTGTGCCATGATGTTGATCCGTTGTTTAAACTTAAACTGAAATTACAACAGTATTGTTTGATTATATGTCCCTTTTGTCTTTCCTCTGAATGTAGTCTCTCAACCAGATTCCCAGGTTACTCCTCACTGCATCATTCTCTTCACGCCCCTAATGATCTGTTCATGCTTTGGCATTGCTCGCTTGCTTCCACAGGGCCTTGATCTAATCTAGCCCTCACATAAGAAGACAAGCATCAAATCAAAAACTCTGGGTCTCTGCAGCTTAGTTATTATGCTTCTACTTCATGTTCTGAAGGTTGTGGCTCATTTCTGGACTGCATCATTTAGTTCAAGATTGCATTTTTTTTTTACGGAGATCCATGTGGCTCATCACTAGAGCTACAGAGTTTGTGCTTTGTGCAACTCTTGGCTTTCTGCAAAGAGAGGCCAAACTAATTTTAGAATAAACCTGGTGCAATGAAGTTCTTCTTCTGCATTTGTCCAAAGAAATAAATGCATTGTGCCTGTTTACAAAATGGCTGCAAAATGTGTGCCTTTTGGATGACACATTCAACTTCTACTGGTATTTTTTGCACCGATTAGCCTTTCTGGTGTGCAATATACTTTATTCTGCAACCTTAAAATTTTTTTTTTTCAGACTTAGGATCAGAGGAAGTATGACATCCTAGGTGTCCATGTTGGGTTAAAAACCCACATCATAAATGCTCAACCAAGGAAAACTTGTATACTAAAGAAAGATTTAAACAGTAATCATAGGAAAAAGTTTGCATATGAGGTGTTAGCCCTTTTTTCCAAGTCAACTAGACTAAACAATGCCAACAATCTCTAATAAGGAAATTCATGGAAAAAAAATCCTTTTACAAAACAATAATTTTACACAGGTCACCAAAAAAAATCCTAATTTTATTTATCGACAAAAACGATATTAAATTTCATGCAGAATATGGGAACTCATCAGTAAACATGAAAGTGCCAGAAAACTTACTAAGCCACATTTGTGTGATATTAAAAATAAACGTTTATGGTGAATAATTTATGACCCTGTGACCTGGTCACAGGTTAATAACACCATGATCAATAGGAAAACTAAAATTACAGCTTCAAAATTTCTATTAAAAAAAAAATAAATGTGTAATCTTCTAAATGCTATTTTTAGTAAATATATTAATTCCGATCCTAGTAAATGTGTGTGCAGGCACAAACACTACCAGCTCTGTCATCTAGGTTGTCTCATGAGCAGACCATGATAGCCAAGTCATAAAAGTGACTCTCTCAAGGAACTGAACAAAAAGGAAAGTGTTGGTTTTGCAGCTTCTTGGGCTGACTGGGTCAATGTATATTGAGACAGAATGATGGTACCCCAGATCACTTTAAATATTACAAACGATAGATTACATGATATAGAAAAATAAAGATCCCTTTTTACGCCTTAGACGCATCGGGCATATGGGAAGAGCACCCATATTATCACAGACCATTGGCACTAGGTAAGTAATGGGGTCAGCATTACGCCGGCCGTCTTTACTTCCTAAGGACATCCATCCTGGTACCTATTTTTTAGGCTGGGTCGACCTGCGACGCCCCATACCATAATAAAAATCCACGCAGCCAGCAGTGGGTTTCGATCGCGCTACGTTGGAATTACAAGTCAGATTTGTAATACCTAAACCATGGACGCTGTGTATTACATGATATAGTTATCATAATTATTTTAAAAGTACACCTAACATATATTAAGCTTATTACAATCTGTTACAATTAATACATAATCTTTGCAATATTAAATAACCAAATGTAAGTGACAAGCATAATTATCCAATTTTGAAATAAAGATTTTAAAAAGAACTTTTACATATCCCAATTATAATCCAGAATGGATGAGCAGCATATACTTTTTTTTTATTACTTCTACTACTGCGGCAAGTATTTTTTTTTAAAAATCTCAACTCGAGAATAAGAATACATGACTTTAAGGGAACAGAAACAATTTAAAGAATACAAAGCCAATAAAACATATTTCTTTAACAAAATAATACTGGTGAAATATACAAATCTGAACAATACCTGTGAATAAATGGCCCAGAACATAATAATGAAAAAGAAAACAGGCAGCATGCCAAGAATAGTGATGACACCATTGACAGTCCCGCTGTCAAAATCACCTCCATATTCTTTACGAGCGGAGTCAAATACTTTACGCTTGCCATTGATTTGTGGAGATTCTCGACAAAAGGCCTGGCCACAGATTTTGAAAGTTGTACCCAAAACACTTCCTGATGTGAAATAAAACAACATTTAATTCATTAAAAAAAGATAAAGCAAGTGAAGACTACCATATTATATATCCCTAGAAATTCAATATGGAAGCAAAGTATTTTGGCTACTTCAGGCGTCATGGTGGCTTAAAATAGACTGCGATGGAGGGTGCAGTTTGTGGAAGTTGAGGCAGGGTTCGACCACTGCAAAGATGGATACAGGACATTGAAGAAGCATTGGCATTGAAAGCATATGAGGCCGGAGAGCTGGCTAGGGAAAGGGAGACTTTCAGGCGTTCAGTGAAGAGAGTGAGGTTCTGTGAAGGACATGCTGACTGATGATGAGTAAAGATATCATCCTATGGAAATCATATAGAATAGATCTAAACTATACTATTCCTATTTAAATATACTGGTGATTACAATTTTCAGTCATTTATATTCTCTGCTTAGTGGTTATTCTACAGATTTTTAGTCTTAGTCTTGGATATCTATTATCATATGTGTTCCGCTTGATTTGACTTTTTGAGTGTTTTCTCACTTTGTTGTTTCTAAAGTTTACTTTGGTTTAAGCATTTCTCTCCTTCTCCTAGTTAACCTACTAAAAACGTTAAAGAATGTTAACTATTTTTTAATCAAGAGATTAAAAATAGTTAACATTCTTTAATGTTGTTTAATTGTGTATAGTATAAGCACATGCAAACTAATTAATGCTATTAAATAACAGTGATCAAAGTGAGATCATAGAATGAAAGTAAAGTCAAATTCAATTTTGAAGACACATCTGCCTTATTTTTTTTATCAGAAAGTAAGAAACACATGTCTGCCGAATTAACCAAATTTGAAACATTAAATATTTGTCTTTTATTTGAAGTATTTATCAGTTATTGAATGTGTATTTACTTTTCCGATTTATTTATTCATTTATTTATTTATTGTTTATTTAGCTCCTGTAGCATCTACATAAAACCACTGTAACGTCTATGTAAAAAAAATGTTTACCATAATGAATACTGTAACCATTTCTTAGAGATCACCTTTGTGTTCCAAACTAGACATGCCATCAATGATTTTAAAATACTAAGAAGTTTAGTAATAATAATTTTCATATGTGCTTTTGAGTGCTATGATATGAATCCTGGATCAAGCAATAAATTATTCTTTAGTTTGTTCATAAAGGGCCTGCAGCAGCAAAGTGATAAAGGTTCATGTCTACCAATGCAGTGGTCTGGGATCATTTCTCAGTAGAAGTAAATTTTTTTTTTTTTAAATTAACTAACTGAGCACTGGGGTCAATTCAGCCTTTTAAAAATGGATATTAAACAGATATCAAAATTTTTTGGGAGTTGTTAATGATTAAAATGTAACCACACACACACACACAAAGACAAGCAAATTTTCCATCCAGCCTTAAATGTTGTTGTTACCTTTCCATTTTTTCCAGGCGACTGATAAACTGTGCTTTATGGAGGCTTGAGAATCACAGCTACTAAGACCAATTATGGCAAGGATTCAATTTTTTTCTCTACAAAACAGAAAGCCTGAGAAGTATTGAAGAGACCATGTAGCAAGATCCCTGTCTCTGCCTGCCTTGTGTGTCACTGCCTAGAATGTTTGTGCAAAGACCTCTAATACTTTGACACCCCAAATGCAGCAAATGCTGTAGGACCTTAGAAAATAAACAGGACACAATGGTTATAATGTGTAAAATGTTGCATTTTGCTTACCTTCTCCAACCTTGATGATATAATGGTTTCTAGCAATGTGCAGAAATATAAGAGACAGAATCATGCAGATAAAAGGTATGAGGAATCCCCATGAGAAGCTGATATTTTGCTGAACGTAGGCAATGGCGGTAAAGGCAACCAAACCACCAGCATTCACAAACCAATAAAACCTGTAAGAACAAAGAATAGTCACTTAATATTATACTCATATTTGTCTGCTTTCTAGTTACAGTTTCTTCACTATTTGAATATTTTTATCCTCTCTTAATACTGGAATTAAGTGTTAAGAATAGTATACTGTTTCTAGCATAAATCACCCAATTGCTTCAAATCAACTCGTGTCAAGTCATCATATTCTTTACCACTGTGGGCAGCTGCTCCTATTTCATTCCACTTTCTATCCCACTCTCTAAACCTCATCCTAAACCTCTTTGTCATTGCCATTTTTTTGCCCCTGTGTAGTGTGGATAAATTATTATAAAGTTTTCTCATGTGTGTGCCCTTTCCAGCATTAGCTCATTTTCCTCCCATCTTGACCTTACCTAATTTGTTCAGCTCTTTCTCAAAACTCAACATTAGTAAAGAAAAATATGAACTGAATGTTATGGGCCTTTTGGGAAGTACGTCAGTCTCACTTTGTCTTCTGGATTTTATTTAAATAAATTTAAATGTATGATCGAGATGTCTGAAGCAAATCTAGCCTAGAAGATCATCTGTGTCATGACCAGCTTAGAGATAGCAGGTGTAACCACATGCAATGGGCAGACACACTGAAAGTGTGGAGACCACGGCTCAGGTGACATCTGTGGATCACGTGAAATGGTCAAGTTGAATAAGTAACAAATTGTCGTTGTTTAGCATTTTAAGACCTAGAACTGATACAAATGTTTTTTTGTCTGCGTTCACTGACTGAAACCTTGGCGGAAAGAACTGGTTGTTCTTTCATTTCTGGACTTCGGTTTTGTTCCAGGACCTAAGTTTTGTGTGTGCATCCATTTTACAGATCTTGCTTATTTGTATGCAGACTGTTGGTTCCTTGCCTCTCAGGCAAATGCACTCCCACTTCAGAGGAAGCCCCCAATTTGCCACCTCTTACGACATGCTTTTTAGGGAGGCAGTGGGTCTATTCTTCTTTTCCCCACATTGAGACCCCAGGACCCACACAAGGAACTGATACAAATGATCTAAAGACCTCGAGCAAGAGCTCAGTATCCATAAAGGACCCACAAGTAAGCAAGTTTAGCTTGTAGCATTAGGCTGTGCCATGGGATCCTGTGTGATGAAAGTTATAAGTAAGACTGGAACTGTGATATCTTTACGAGATAATTGTAACTACCTTTACTTTAATGCACTACAATGGAAAATAAAAGAAACAAATCTTCAAAAGACAAACAAGCAACAATTTACCAATTAAAAAACGTCTGTACTGCCTCAGGCCCTAAATCTTCAACTTGTTGAGCTCCGAAATTCCCAACATTGGCTTTAATACCACCTGTGCCAAAGGCAATAAACACCAACCCCACAATGTAGAAGATGCGACGATCACTCTAATTTTGGACAAAGATTATATAAATTAGAAAACAAATTCTCTTCCAGTGTTGAATTTCATCTGTTAACTATCATCATTCTATTGTGCGTGTTATGTCACACAGAAATTGCAGTTTATTCTCCATACTTTTTTATCCTATGCAGTCAATTTTAATATTGTATAAAAAAAATCCAGTATTCTATCTCTGGTCTCTCTCTCACATAAGCATTTGTCATAGGGAGTCTCTTGGATGTCCTTGCCTCCTCAATCCATTCATTTTCTATTCAGTGCCTGTTTTGATTCATTGTTACCTGCTTAAGAATATACCCATTATATGACTATATTCTTTTTTTTTTAAATAACCAGTGGTTGTCTGGTCATTTCTCACAATGTTCATCTGTTATCTTAGGCATTTATTTTTTAATGCATTTTTTGTAATCAGTATCTTTAGAATAGAAAATATGTAACATGGTTTTAAAGTTATGATTTAGAGTTCCATATTTTGTTGAGGATTTTAAAAGCTCACGTTGCTTTGTCAATGTGTATGTTTTAGCTACATATGGCAATATTGTTATACTCCCTTATTAACTTTGAAGTCAGCAGAAAAGTTGTTGTAGATAGGAGATGAGATGTTCTGGACACACCCTTGGAATATCAGATAAAATTCATTTCGCAAAAAAGAGTTTATAATATCATCAGACAATATATGATGACATAAAGATAGTAGTTTATATAAGTGCTGACCTGAAAAAGTAAAGTAATAAAAGTTAAGGTCCTTCATCTTATTATTCTGTGTTTGTTTTTAAAATGACAGTTGGAACACAGTGTTTTTGTTTAAAACTAGGCTAACACATCTGATTTCAACGAACCCTTAAAGTTGTCTTTTATAACAAGTTGCTAAGGGGCAGTGAGTCTATTCTTCTTCCCCACAGGGTGTAACAATCGGATTTACATGCCTTGAGGAGTACTGAGTATATGTGGTGTAAGCACCCGATTTTTATAAATCAACTGGCACTCTAATAGTGATATGGTCAGTATCATGGTAGTTACCTTTAGCTACCAGAAACTCTAGAAAGTATGATAACCCAGAGAAGATAGAAATGGCTTGGCCATGTTACGAGAATGAATCCTGATCTACTTGTCAAAATAGCTCTCGCTTGGACATCAGAGGGAAAGAGAAAGAAGGGGCGCCCAAAAACAACATGTAGACGAATGATCGAAAGTAAGGCTGTACTGAATATTCGCTTTGTATTCGCTTCGAGGCTGAATAGTGGACCGAATGACTATTTGGTATTCGGCTGAATAGTTGCGGTCGGGCCGAATACGAATAGTGGTAACATTACACCCATTTCTGCATACACTGCGATGGACTGAAATAACTCTCTCATTAACACAATAGTTGCTGTTGCTTAAGTCTGTCGTAGCGGGGGAAACTGGGACCCGGTTGCGTGGTACAGCAGCTGGCAAGGTCTTGCCTGCTGACTCGACCGAGACTTTACAGCAAACGTTCTCAAACTGTGTGCATGTGCCAGGGGTGCCGGGGCGAAAATCAAGAAAAGTCGGCTATAAATTGTGACATTATTAAAGAATGCATAAAGATACTTGAAAGTTAAAATTTAAATTGTCTTTCCTCGCCACTGTCAAAAAGAGCACAGGCGACAGGCAATAACTGCATTTCATAAAATGAAGAACATCTTATGCAATATATCTTTGCCATTAAAGATTAGAAAAATAATTCTTGCTTGCTACATACATCCAGTTTTAACATATGGTTGTAAGTCCTGGACAATCGGTAGGCAGGCCAAAAAATTTCTCTAGGCTTCAGAGATGTGGTTTTATAGAACAATGCTCAAAATACCTTGAACAGCCAAAAAAATAAACCAAGAGGTTTTGAAAGAGGCGGGAGCCCGAAGACAACTAATCACAGACATCAGAAAGAGACAGTCGTCATTTTTCGGCCATGTTATGAGAAGAGGGAAAATGAAACATGTGGTGACCACTAAAAAGATCTGTGGAAGGAGGGATAGAGAAAGACAACGAAGAAGATTCTTGACAGTCTTGTTACATGGCATGAAGGTGTGTCAGCACACGAACTAATACTTGCTGCAGCAGATCGCAGATTGTGGTGAGGCATAATCACCCACATCAGTCAGCAAGGCACCTGATGATGATGATACACTATTCGTATTTGGCCGAATAGTTGGTCCCACTATTCATATTTGGCCGAATAGTGAAAATCACTATTCGGTACAGCCCTAATCGAAAGTGAAATGAGTGCTGCATCTCTGACATGGAAAACTGCACTGAAGATTGCACAGGATAGGAAGGCATGAAAAGTCCTCTCTGAAGCTTCAGGTGCCACTTGGCATGATGAGAAATGATGACCTTTAGTTCCCAAGTCATTTACTGGAACCCACTTTACACTGGGTCAACATGGGAGCCCTGGTTAATTTTAAAAATTTGTCTCAGCTGACATTTGAACCTATGACCTCCAGACCAGCAGGCAAGCATGCTACCCAGTGCAGAGATGATATGACATTAGTATGTGTTGACATACAGATACCTCTAATAATTGTAAAAATATGAAAACTACTACTCTTTTTGTCATCTGGAAAAATCACCTGAGTTGTCCAACCTTATACATGCTGAAACAGACACTGCTGATAATTTTACAAAATGCACCAAGAAGACAGTTTTCAGAAATGAACATTAGAAATTCTTGCAGAGACTAAAGAGTTAATTTTTTTTAACTTCATGTGTAAGTCATTCTTATTTTTTTTATTGGGGGGTGGGGGGGGAGAGTAACTGCTAAAGCAAAAAACAATGCCCTGGCAAAATTTATGTTCATAAATTATGTATTAAAATAAAATTAATTTGGCTAAAAAATTCAAAAAAGTTTCAATAAAAGCTAAACTTGAAGAAAGAAAAAAACATGATTACTGAGACCATTTAATCTGCCCGTCATGAAACCGAATGTGCATAATACTTACCACTTCGAAGCCATACTTTGGATCATCAAACAACGCTTGAAAGTCTACAGCACAACAAACCAGGAGAAAGAGGCCTGAAGAAAGGATAAACATATGAGTGCCTGTTAACAAGAATGGTGAACAGCAAACACTTATTAAAGAATCAGTTGCTATCTCAGATTGAAGGTTGGCTGCAAAAATCTCGGACACTCTCCGTCTCCTGTCCTGAATTTACACTATGATAGAATGTTGTTTGGCCATCTCTTGATGTTATTATTCCACGTGCATCACTGCTTACCTCTTGCTTTACTACTTTTGAATGTTATCTTTAGTATGGTTTTTATGGCGAATTGCAATTGCAGAGGGTCAACACACTTACCAGCTAACATGTTATCGAACCCTATTACACTGTTTAAAGAAGGACAGCCTCAAGGATAATGTCACATCATCCAGCATGAGAATGAAGGTGGAGGTAGTAATGGTAGCTTTCTGACGGACTGAGTAGTCCAGCCTGATATGTTGTAAATGTAACGGACTCGGAGCATGCTTCAAAAAACACATAAATTGGTGTACTATGTGTAGAGTGGCTTGCACCACTTAATAAGGCTGATCAGGTGCATTTCATAGATTTCATGTCAAGGATATTAAAGTGTATGAGGAAACAAGCAGGCTGACAGACTGGCTGCTGGTGATGCTCCTCTAAGTAATGAGTTACTTTATGATAAAGTAGACGGTCTGGATGGTTTTCAATGCACAGAGAAAAAAGACAGGTAGACTTTTAATCAGCTTGCAACAGGCACCAACAGTATGATAAATGTGTTGGCTAATGAGGAAGGGGACAGAGCATGTGTGGGAATGCCCTGTGTCCAGTGATATCAATTCTTGATTCACTCATTTGTTCAATTATTCATTAAACCCACACTGACCTGGAGTCCCAGGACATGTGAGCTTTAAATGAGTACCAGGAAGTAAAGGCAGATGGCATGATTCTAATCATACCCACCATCAGATACAGATTCGTCCAAAAAATAAGGCTCTGACATTATAAACTTAATTTATCTTGTCACATGACAAGTGGTTATCTTCTTATTTTATGCCATAGATATTACAAGAGTGCTATGTCTTGTGGGCCCTTTGAGAATGGGTGAACAGTGAGGAAGCGCAGACAGATCATTACAGTCTGAGGAGAATGGCGCTGCGAGGAGTAAAAAGGGGATCTGGTTAGCACAGTTACTGGTGCCATTGGAATTGGAACTCTTCGCTTGCTGCTGAAGATGGAGACTGAGCACTTATGGGAGTGTCCCGAGTGCTGTGATGTCGATTCTTAATTCAACATTAACATTCAACATATGTCTTGTGGTGGGACCAACATATTTCACTTCTGTCATTTTTATTTCCATTATATGCTCCCAGGATCTCTGTACTTGATTGTAGTAAAGAAAGTAAGTTACGTATCCTTTACAGGACGTTGCAGAACCAACCCCAACAGCCCCTAGCTGTTGTGTGGTTTTTCTAGACAAATTTACGTCCAGTAGTTTGTAGTAAAGAAACAAATATAAAAACTTACTCTTTTGAAAGGGGCAGAAGACTCAAAACTCAACCACAATATCCAGTGTCTCGAGTCTATTATGGAAAGTCACTTGCTGCTGTTTTTAGTATAGTTATTAAATTGGGCCTAAACAGTTCTTCTATTAAATATGTTGGCACCTTTCTATCTTACTACAAAAGTTTTATTTTGTGTTTTGGAGAGGAAGGGAATTAAAGTTCCTCCTCTCACAGTGCTGGACAGCATTGTAGAGATCATGTATTGAATATGCATCATGATCCCTCTCTAAGCCTGCCTTGTTTACTCCAGAGGAAAGATAACACCAACATGTTTTTAAACAAAGCCCATTGAAGAAACTGCTGGATTAGAAGAGCAGTCTTCTCTCCCTCTGCCTTAGTTTCCGTCCCAGATCAAGCCAGTGTCTGGTCTGCCCTGCTGTTACATGAAGTTTTCAGGTTGCATTTTTTCTTTCCAGGATAAGGCTAGTATTCTACCCCCATTTGTTCATTTGCATAAAGCTACTAGCACAATGTGGGATGTCAGGTTTTGTATACTTCACCCAATGTTTGTTATTAACAGAAAAATACCATTGATAAATATCATACAATAACAAAAAGCTAGAAATTGGCTTACCACATAGGTAAATAAGACCTGCAGCATAAATAACGTTGAATCTGCTGGACCAAGAATCTGCAATGTAACCTCCAACAATAGGAAGTATGTACACTGTCCCTATAAAGCATCAAAAACATACAAATGTGTATTAAAAACCAAACAAAAAGTTTAAGTTTATGAGTGATATATCTCCACCCCCCCCCCCCATCTCCCCCCCCCCCCTTTTTTTCAAAATGCATGCAAATTATTTTCTAATCAGTACTCAAAGGAACTTTTTTTTAAATAGAAGTAAAGATGACAATACACATAAGAAAATATAAAAATAGTACCCATCAAATACATTCCTTTCAAATGATGACCTCACCTTGCTAAAGAAATAAGTGGATTTCAACATATTTTATTGCACACTTGCACACACAGAGAGAAATATAGACATACACACACTCACACACATATATATATATATATATTAGGTTATGTGAACAGGCAAATGAAGAATTTTGTGAATCACAAATCTTCATTAATCATTCGCCCCATGTGGGTTTCGGGGCCCTGTTATAGAGAAAACAAGAATAGACCCATTGCCTACCCAAAAGCATGTCGTAAGAGTCGACTAATTGGGAGCTTCCTTTAAAGTCGGAGTGCATCTGCCTGAGAGGCAAGGAACCAGCAGTCTGCATACAAATGAGTCAGATCTGTAAAACGGATGCACACGTAACACTCAGATTCTGGAACAGGACTGCAGTCCAGAAGTGGATGAACAACCAGAATTTTCTGCCAGAGTTAACAGCTGGTGAACGTGAAGTAAAAAGAAGATTATTCATTCATGATTACTATCAATATCATTGACAACAATCATACCAACAATCATACCAACAATCATACCAACATCATTGACAACAATCATACCAACAATCATACCAACATCATTGACAACAATCATACCAACAATCATACCAACATCATTGACAACAATCATACCAACAACATTGACAACAATCATACCAACATCATTGACAACAATCATACCAACATCATTGACAACAATCATACCAACAATCATACCAACATCATTGACAACAATCATACCAACATCATTGACAACAATCATACCAACAATCATACCAACATCATTGACAACAATCATACCAACATCATTGACAACAATCATACCAACAATCATACCAACATCATTGACAACAATCATACCAACATCATTGACAACAATCATACCAACAATCATACCAACATCATTGACAACAATCATCCCAACAATCATACATACCAGAGAAAACTAAGCTGATGGTGGTTGCATCATTGCTGGTGTAGTTTAAAACACTGGTGCAGAAGAGAATGAGGTTTGCTGAGACTCCATAGTACGCCATCCTTTCACACATTTCAACTAGCAACACACACAGCACCACTGCTAGCTTGTGTGGGCTAAACATGGTCATCTGCAGTGATGGATTTTTCACTTATCAAATTGTTACAAACTCCTATTACACAAATGTGACACACTGCAATTACAAATATATGGCACAATGCTATTACAAACAAATGTGACAAACTGCTATTACAAGCATGTGACACATTGCTGTTCGTTCTACGGCTGTGCCCTTCAGTTTATGAGTGCAATTTTTACAGAGATCCCTGGGGATCGTCGCAGGAGCAACGCAGTTCATGCTCTGTGCGACGCTCTTGGCAGGCGGAAAACTGTTCTGTGGAGAAAGACTGAACCATATGGGATAAAACCCAGCGCAATGAAGTCAATCTTTGACTTTAACTTCTGTGACACACTGTTATTGCTAAAATAGTTTTATTATTGAAATGCTTTATGCTGCTGTTACTATAATGTGGCACATTGTTATGACTAAATTATTAAAATATGACATACTGCAATTACTGAAATATTAATGAAATGTGAACACACTGCTGTAATTAAATTACTAAAAAGTAACATACTGCAGTTAATGAAATATGGCACACTTCTATTACTAAAATGTGACACATTTCTGTTACTAAATTATTAAAATGTGACACACTGCAATTACTGAAATATGAACTTCTATTACTGAAATGTGAACACACCTCTGTAATTAAATTACTAAAATGTAACATACTGCAATTACTGAAATATGACACACTCCTATTACTAAAATGTGACACATAAGTGATACTTGAAGAATAAAACATATAATATTTAAAATAAAATTCATACAATATCATTTATTTGTATTTTATTTTTATAAGAGGCGCCACAGTGGTGTAGAAGCTAAATGCCCACCAATCAGTCTGAAGGTCTTGGGTTCAAATCCCAATTTAAATGAATTTTTGTTTTTAATAACCTTGGCTCCCAGGTCAACCCAGCCTAAAATGGGCACTAGATAAAGTCTGAGAAGTACAGGTAGGGAGGCACTGACTACATCATCCACTGAGTTCTGATTGGTCTATACCATATATTCGATTCCCTACTAGATGTAATAATGGCTCTTTATTTTACTTAATGATAAAATTTTACATCTAAATTAAACCTAATATTTCAATTCTATAGGCAAAAAAGATAAATAATTTTTAGTAAAAATAAATTACAAAACTGATTAACATATTCCATGCAATAATATTAATGCTTTGTATAAAAGAACCTACCTTTGGTTCATACTTGACACTAATTCTTCCTGCTAGATCTTTTTCCTTGTAATTTGCATCATCGCTACTAAGGCTGAGTGAATGTAATGCATTCTTATGCTGCAGTAATGGTGCCTTCTCTGCATTATCTGTTCTGTGCATTTTGATTCCTTATGTTAGCAAATGGGGGTCAATTATTCTGTTTAGGCTAAAATATGCACTATAAACTAAAAGAGAAACAAAGCCACTTTCAGTATCAATCCATGGAAATTAATCAAATGTTTTGAATACTTTCTGATGTGGCTTTGATAGAAGTTTCCAGAAATAGATGAAGTCACATTCATACCTGCAAAATATAACAATATACAATTAAAAATATGTTACAGATTTACTGTACCACCAGGCCTGTTGCTCACTGTATTCTTTTTGTAAATATAATTAATTTAGATAATCTTCTTCAACCTTTCTCTTTATTCTTATCAATATTATTGTTTTATTATTATTCACGCTCTACCTTTTATTTCTCAGTTTTCTTCATCTTTTTTGTTATTCTCCTTGTCACTGGTCTTCTTCACAAAAGATGACAACATACCTCTATGAAGGTTGTGGTGTGACGCACCTCCTCTTCTGATCCTTACCGCTTAGTTTCTACCAGAATGCCAACTGGTCAGACCTGGGACCTATCTACTACATGTAGAGAGCATGTCTGAAACACATGTTGAATATTTTATGGTGTCTATCCACATGTGCAAAGTTCTGAGTCCTGAGTCTTGAATTTCTTGTATATATGGCTGTGGAGTCTGTTGCATTGATTCACCATTAAAAAAAACAGTAGTCTATTGCTTGCATGGCAAGAGGTTGACTTCAAGACTGTTTTTTTTATGTGAAGTGTTTCCCTGAGTTCTGATAACTACCTTGATCTTTCTTTGAAGCATAGAACTACACCTGACTCTCAGCAAATCCCTGTAGTCTTATTCATTACTGACTAGATTTTGCAAATAAACACAGACTCACACAATCACAGACACACAGAGAAGCAAACACAGATACACAGAAAAAACAAAACAGCAGACATATACAGAAAGATGTCGATACAGACATATACAGACATACACAGAATCAAACAAACACAGGCCCACACAGAAACAAACATATATAAACACACAAACACAGGTATACACAAAAATGAAGAGAAATGGAAATCAGCCATAACAACTGAGTTACCACTTTCTCATGTGGTTGGCATGTTTTGTTGTGGTTTTCTAACTAGGCTAGAATATATGTGCCACTAGTTTCATGGGCAATAAGGAGCCTGAAAATGGTAAATCACCTGGATGTGATGAGATACCAGCTGAATTGATTAAAGCGGGAGGAGAAGAAAGCATAAAAATCTATCATGCATTATGTGAAAAGATATGGAAATATGGTATTTGGCCAAAAGACTGGAAGAGAACTATCTTCATTCCAATACCAAAAAAGGGTAACCTGAAATTATGTACAAACTATCGAACTATTGCCCTGATCAGTCATGCAAGTAAAATTCTACTAAAAATTATAATGAGAAGACTGCATAAGAAAATGGAAGAAGAGATTAATGTAGCTCAGGCTGGATTTAGACAGGGAAGAGGAACAAGAGATCATATATTCAACATGCGTTTAATAATAGAGAAGTGTAGAGAATTTAATGTAAATCTGTTCTTATGTTTTGTGGATTATTCAAAAGCATTTGACTGTGTACAACATCAGAAGCTTTGGGAAATCATGAGGAATATGGGCTTTTCCATCACATATAGTGCAGCTCATTAAAATGCTCTATCAAGACCAACAAGCAGCAGTCAGAATAGATGGAGAGACATCAGACTGGTTTGGCATCAGCAAGGAGTCCGTCAGGGATGTGTGCTGTCACCGTATTTTGTTCAACCTGTACGCCGAAAATATAATGAGAAATGTAAGAGATGATATAAACAAGGAACAATATGATGCCCTAAACATCGGTGGTCATGAAATACCAGAAATTCGTTATGCTGATGATACAGTATTACTATCAACATCACAAAATGGTTTAGAAAACTTATTAACCTCACTCCAAAGAAATAGTGACAATCATAACTTATTTCTTAACATAGCAAAAACAAAGATAATGCATACAAACAAAACTGCCATGGAGAAGGAAATATATGTTAATGAGGAAAGATTGGAAGTGGTGGAAAATTTCGAATATCTTGGGTCACTGGTTTCCAACAATGGTGACACAATGAAAGAAATTAAACGGCGACTATCAATTGCTCTTCAAAGACTAAAACAACTGAATAAATTATGGAATTGTACAGATAGAATTACAAAGGTCAGATTTTTAAGAGCATGCATCTTTCCCATTGCAACATACACCTGTGAGACCTGGACACTTACTAAACAAGCGGAACAGCGCATAAATGCATTTGAATATAAATGTTACAGACAGGTTCTAAGAACTTCTTGGGTAAAGAAAACAAATGCATCCATACTTCAAGAGCTGAATATTGAAGAGGGTTGGCTAGTAAAGACAATAAAACAAAGAAAATTGAAATATTTTGGTCACTTGAAACGTCATGGAAGTCTAGAGAGAACAATAATGGAGGGGTATATGCCTGGGAAGAGAGGAAGAGGAAGGCCAAGGAGAAGATGGGTGCAGGATGTGGCAGATGATCTCCAGATGGGTGTATCAGACGCAGGACATCTTGCTCAGGATAGGAAGGTTTTCCGGAGGGTTGTTATGGCAGCGAGGTTCCGCGAGGGACATGCTACTGAATGAATGAATGAATGTTGAGAGGTGATGGCTTTAATCCCTTCCTCCCCTCCCCCACTCCCGCTGCAATTAGGTCCTAAAACCCAAGAACCACACATTAAAATTATATTATATGTAGTGCACTTAATATGAAACAACATTTTCTTTATGTCTGTTAAAAATAATAACAACAGCATTCTAATAAATATGAAATTGATTCAATATAGCAGGTCTGTATCACTAAGTAAAATCACTAAATACAAATGAAGCAAAGAATTAACCGCTGTTACTTCCTATTACCATGAGAACAGATATTTGGTTAAATCAGCCATTGAAAACAAAGTGACATCCTTATAAAAGTTAACTGTGATGTCATGATGACCCCAAAAAATTAATTTGTTTTTCCCCCAAATAATTTCTCTCCCCCCCCCCCCCCCCCCCCCCCAAAAAAAAAATTGTTGTCATACCAACCACATCTAAAAACACACTATGCAGTTACAACCAATACCAAAGTTGTTACATAGATGTCATGACCACTGCCCAAAAACTTTATCTTATTAAAAAAACATAAATGTCAGAAAACCAGCAGTGAAAACCGGGGTGAAAAGGTTAATGTAAAATAGATTGGCATATCAGAAATTGAGAAAATCTTTGTATGGGATAATCAATGAACGTATAATGTTTGGTACAGAATGAGTTAAATAAATTAATTAAACAAGAATGCTACTTTGTGACAAAAGAAAGAACTGTTACTTACAATTTTCTACTGCAGTGTATACTTTGAACAATAAAATCTTGACTTCTCATAAAGCTTTAGTAAATTAATAAACCAAAATTACAGAGCCTAAGTATTAAACTGGTCTTCGGTCATCTAAATCAAATAATTTATCTGAACATATACAAACAATGTTTCACACTGTTAAGTACACTCAAAAGAATATCACATTATAAGCAGCTGCAAAATCTGGCAGAGTTTGCCTACTTGGCCTAATTATTACTTAATTTATATTTTAGAAGAGTCACTAAAAAATATATATTGTGTACTATCATTTATATCATGTATTATTACATTTATAATGTGTAATAGATGACATATGACTCAGCAATTATGAGATTAGTTACAAGCTGCACTGGAAAATGATCAGATGTTTTAAACATAATTGCAGACCATATCTGTTAACTGTATTTATAGATCTTTTTCTTTTTTTTTTTTATTTTGTACTACTGCTTATGTGGTAAAGTTTTGTAGAGAGTGTTATATGTAGTTTTATGTTTTTTGCTAGTTGCATAGTAAGAAGCAATTTGGTAATTTATATTGTAGACCTTCTGTTTTCCATTTCTCTGCCCAGTCCTTTATCTTATTTAAGCCTTCGACCAAATAAACTCAGATCATTTATGGTCAGTGCTCGAAGAAGAAAGCCACATTTAGTTTGGTATTATATGTTTTTTTTTTTTTTCCACTTCTCTGTCTCAGTGTAAAAATAGCACCGGTGCCCCCTGTTCCTTTTCTGAAGCCTAACTGCAAATAATTGTTTAGGAATGGTTCCACTTTATATCTTACTTTTTGTTCTAAAGTTTTTAGATTTATAACTAAAATGTATTGAACACTGGATGAAAATTATTGACTGATTGACCAGAACTAATATTACAACAGCCCTAATGCTGTCAAAGATATTCTATCTTCTGCAGCAGAAGACTGACATTCAAGGCACTCATGTATATTCCGTCCACTCATAAAATTGTGTAATTTAGGAATGCTGGTAGTTTTGATAGGGTACTGATTTGGGTTGCAATTAAAAACTGTCCAGTCACATGAAAAGTATTACTTCACTTCCCACTTATTAGGTTTAGAAATTCACACGTATGCTTTTGACATATTGTAAAAGGATAAATAACAGCCCTGAGAATGCACGTGGCAAATATCGTCAAAATTGCACTTATGTGACTTTAGCGTTTGTCAACAAATTTATATCAAATCTAAATTTTGTCCTTTTTCCCCAGTATCCCAAAAACTGATGCTACCGATGGCAGAAGTTAAATTCAATATACCATGGATCTTTGCATTACCTATGTCTAAGTCCCATCTAATGTCTTGAAGAGATGAAACAGATATATAGCTTAACAAGAGAGTAACTTAGGTGACAAACAGAATAGGCAATCCTGAAGAGACTGTATTACACAAGCAACAATCAAAGAAACACATAAAATTACCAGTTGTAAAGAGATTTATTACATATGCAACTTATCCGAGAAACAAATAGAATGATCGGTTATGAAGAGATCATTTTACATATGTAAATTATCAAAGCAACAAAAAGAATAATCAGTTGTGAAAAGATTGTATTATATTTGCAACTTATCAAAACAACATGCTTATCAAATAAACAAATAAAATAAA